AAGGTTTGGGGAGCCCCTTCCCCCCAGTAAGGACCTTTCCCCATTGATCTGGGGGCGTGGGGACCCCCTGTAACGCCCCACAAACCCCACAGATGATGGGACAGGGCCGGAGAAAATCGCCCACATCATGGGACCCCCGGAGCGCTGCGAGCACGCGGCCAGGATCATCAACGACCTGCTGCAGAGCCTGCGGGTATTTGAGGAGGGGGCTGCGCTTCACGGGGCCACAGGAGCTGTGTTAGGGGAGGATTAAAAGCTGGTTTTGAGGCCAGGAGGGTTTGTTTGGTGGAGGAGTCGGGAGCTGTTTTAGGGGCAGGGATGTTTTCTGGGGGGGCATGTCCGCCCTGGTTTGGGTTCTGTGCCTCCCCTAATGCCCCTCCTCCCCACAGAGTGGCCCTCCAGGACCCCCTGGGCCGGGGCTGCCTCCWGGGGGCCGGGGCCGGGGCCGGGGCCAGGGCAGCTGGGGCCCCCCCGGCGGAGAGATGACCTTCTCCATCCCCACCCACAAGTGTGGGCTCGTCATCGGCAGAGGTGAGATGGGGGTGAGCTCCAGGATCCCCTAATTCCCCACCAAACCTCCCCCAGGACCCCGCACCCCACACTTCCCAGTTCCTCCTGTGGCTCATGAAATGCCTACAAATGCMCCCAAAATCGCTCCCCAGACTCCCCAAATCCCTCTCTAGACTCCTGCTAATTTCTCCTCTGAATCCCTCCTGACTCCCGCACCCAAATACCCGCAAAATCCCCTCACGGCACCCCCAGACCTCAAAAGGGTCTCTGGACCCCAAATTCACCTCCCAAATCTTCCCCCAGTTCCCCCCAAAATCCCTCAGAAACACTCCTCGTTCTTCTTCTGAACTCATGTAACTCCTCTGGACCCCCATCGACCCCCATAAGTTCCCCCAGATAATTCTGAGCCCTCCGCAAACCTCCTGTAACATCTCCAAAAGCTTCCCCAAATACATCCGCACCCACTCCTACCTGATCTCCCACCCCAAAGAGCCCTTTTTCCTCTGTCATGTAAAGGGTGCACATTGCGGGGAGGTTGGGGGTTCCCACACTGGGTTTTGGGGTTTCCCAGGGGAGTTTGGGGCTCTCGGGAGGGTGGTGGGAGATCCTGTGGGGCTTTTGGGGTCCCAGGGTAGAGTTTGGGGTTCCCCAGTGAAATGTTCTGGGATTCCCTGAGCGTTTTGGGGGTTCCCAGGGGATTTTGGGGTCTGGGAAGAGTTTGGGGGACCTGGGAGGGTTTTGGGGTTCCCCAGGGGAGGTTTTAGAATCTGCTGAGGGGTTTTGCGGTTCCCATGAGGGTTTTGTTAGTCTCAGGGAGGATTGGGCATTCCCAGGGGGCTTGGGGGATTTTGGGGTGCCCCCACTGACCGTGGGGGGTTTTGGGGTGCAGGGGGGGAGAACGTCAAGGCCATCAACCAGCAGACAGGGGCGTTTGTGGAGATCTCACGGCAGCTCCCTCCGAATGGGGACCCCAACTTCAAACTGTTTGTGATCCGTGGGACCCCTCAGCAGATCGACCATGCCAAGCAGCTAATCGAGGAGAAGATTGAGGTGGGGACACCCTAAAAAAATTTATAGGGCACCCCAAAACTCCCCCAAATCCCCAAAAAAGCCCAAAACCTTGCAAGAACCGCCAAAACTCGTGRGAGTCTCGGTGTTGCTCTCTTGTGGGGAACGTGTGGTACTGTAAGATCCCTCCCAGATGCCGCCCAGGATCCCCATACCCTCCACCACAAACCCAGATATCTTTGAGGGGCCCCAGAACCCCTCCTGGGGTCCCCCAAATCTCCCCTAACACCCATTTTCCACCCCCAGGGCCCGCTGTGCCCCGTTGGCCCTGGTCCTGGCCCAGGGGGTCCCCCTGGACCTGCTGGGCCTATGGGCCCCTTCAACCCCGGACCCTTCAACCAGGGCCCCCCTGGAGCCCCCCCACAGTGAGTACTGGCCTTTTTCGGGGGGTTCTGGGGGATTCCCCCAAAATCAAACACCTCTGACCCCCCTTYTCTGCAGCCCGGGGGGACCACCCCCCCACCAGTACCCCCCCCAGGGCTGGGGCAACACGTACCCCCAGTGGCAGCCACCAGCCCCTCACGACCCCAGTGAGTATTGCGAACCCCCGGGACTTGCCGGGGGGGCCCACTTCTTGGGGAGCCTGCCAAGGGTTTGGGGAGCCCCCGCAGGGCCGGCCCACTGGGTTTTGTGGGTTTGGGGGGCCAAAGCTGGGGTAGAGCCCAACGGTGTGTGTGATGTTACCCCTTGGTTCTAGGAGTGCTCCGGGATTTTGGGGGCTGGGCCCTGAGTTTGGGAGTTAACCCGCATTTGGGGGACACCCCCTGACTGATGCTGGGGTTTTTGGGCCTCCTGGTGTGATTTTAGGGCAGTGGCAGACCCCAAGTTGTGACCACTCGGGTTATGGGTGGGACCGTGAGTGTGGGGTCCCTCACTGAGCTCACCCTGGGCGCTGTCTGAACAGCCCCCGTCAGACCCCAACTCCCCCTGGGCCCCGTGTCAACGGCCCCAGTGGACTTGGAGAGCACCCTGTGTTTATAGCGAGGGGAGCCCCGAAGTTGGGGCCTCCCCCAGACTGGGGGCTCTCCTCGGCTGACACCATGGTTTTGGGGCCCCCCCCAGGCAAGGCGCCCGCCCCGGACCCCAACGCGGCCTGGGCCGCCTACTACTCGCACTACTACCAGCAGCCCCCCGGGCCCGTGCCGGCGCAGCCCCCGCCCGCCGCCCCGCCCGTGCAGGGGGAGCCCCCCCAGCCCCCCCCCACCGGCCAGGCCGACTACACCAAGGCCTGGGAGGAGTACTACAAGAAACTAGGTGGGCACTCGGGATTTGGGGGGGTGAATTGGGTGGGCCTGGGAACCTCCAAACGCCMCCCCCGCCCCGGGACTCCCTTAACTGGTGTTAGTCCAGGCCCCCGGAATCCTCCTGGGACCCACAAATCTCCCCCTGAGGATSCTCCAAACGCTCCCTGTGACCCCCTGACATTCTCCAGGAGCTAAAGCGATCACAGAGACTTCTGAAACCCACCCCTCCCCCAGGACCCCCCCAAACTACCCTGGGGATCCTAAATCTTCTCCCCTGCCCCTCTAAACGGCCCGTGGGTGACTGTAAGAGCCCTCTGTCACGCTGGGAACCCCAAACCTGCTCCTCCGTCCCTTGTAACCCTGCCTGGGGACCCCTGAACCCCCGCCGGGGTCCCATAACCTCTCGGTGCCGTTCCCCAGGCCAGCAGCCGCAGCAGCCGGGGGCACCCCCGCAGCAGGATTACACCAAGGCGTGGGAGGAATATTACAAGAAACAAGGTGTGTCCCCCCAGACATTTTCTGCATGGGGGCTCTGGGGACATCCCCCCCAGCCCTGACCACCCGTGCTGTGTCCCYCGCAGCAGCCCAGGTGGCTTCGGGGGGTGGTCCCGGGGCCCCCCCTGGCCCCCAGCCCGACTACAGCGCAGCCTGGGCCGAGTATTACCGGCAGCAAGCGGCGTACTACGGGCAGACCCCCGGGGGGGCCGGGCCCGCCCCTCCCCCCGCGCAGCAGGGACAGCAGGTACGGCACCCCTGGCACCCCAAACCCCCCTCGGGACCCCCAGAGTTACCCTCTCCGGGAARCTACAAAGTGCCAGGCCAATCTCCCTGCCCAGGGAGGATTTTGTGCTGATAGACACCCCCTCCCCCCGACACTAAAATTCATTGAATTGATTAAATCCCTCTGCCTGGGACCAGCAAAACCAACCAGGAGGCCCCAAAACTTGCAAAAAAAAAAAAAAAAATGAGGATCCTCCAAAGCCCCCCAAGACCTTCCTGCTGGAGGATGGTTGGCACTGCAGGAACTCCCCCAGCATGTCCTGACCCTCAAAATTTCAACAAGGGGCCCMTCCATGGACCCTGAACCCCAGCCCAGGATACCTAAAACACCACTGGGACTGTCACAAATTCCCCTGGGGACCTCCAATCCATTCCTGGTACCCCAAACAACCAGGAACCCCCAAAACTCCTTGAAAACAGCTTTGGCACATCGCACACCACCCATGGGTGGGGGGGGTGGGGGTGGTATTGCAGGAGCCCCTCCAGCACATCCTGATGCCCCCTGAGGACCCCAGGGACACCCCAGAATCCCCCTGGGGGGTCTGGGGTYCCCTGGAGCCTCCCACCCACCCTGCTTCCCCCCCTGCAGGCTCAGTGACCCCAACGTGCCCCCCCATCTGTGACCCCCTTTTGTTTTGGGCGAGCGGCCGCGGCCGGACGGGGCGAGCGGTCCCCCACGACCCCCCAAACCCCCCCTGGGGGGAGGTCTCCCCCCTCCCCCACCCTTTCTCCCCCCCAACCCCCCCAGAGCCGCTCGAACATTCCTGGGAGCCACTGGGGACCCCCCGAAACCGCCCCCGGGGACCCCTCAAATGCCCCCAGGGACCCCCAACCACCTGGGGAACCTCAAAACCCACCCCAAACCTCCCCATCTCCTTGTGGGCACCCCCAGACCCCCTCATGGGGACCCCAGCAATCCCTCAATGGCCCCTAACGCCCCCTTGGGGATCCCCCAAATCCCCCCGGGG